GGCCATCTTGTAGCTCTACGTCATGACGTTATTGCTGAAGTGCTGCTACCGTGGTACTGTCCCGTCCATGCATCTTTGTGGGAAATCAAGCAACATGCACTGCTCTTTGGATTGCTTCTTAATCAACGTTGATGATCGAAATCGCGTATGGGCCCATTTTCCGTTGAATGCAAGAAGTGTCATTTCAGTACATCGTGCAAAAAGGCTTGTGTTAATTGGTATGAATTTGAATTTACCCTCGTCGGCTTGCTCGTCGAATGAACCGAGACAAGGCTGGCTGCAATATTGCTGTTTGACTCGGAATATACTTGATCAACCCTGTCATGGACACTATCCACCTTCAAATTCTACGACAAGCAGTACAAAAATAGTACAGACTAGGGGTTGATATTTCCTTGACATCGAATCCTAAACGATGTTTTATCAATGCGAAGGAGGCTGCGTCGCGGGGAAAGGTCTTGGAGCCTCCAAGACTAATTGCACACTTCGGGTATAGGTGTGCAGCTCGTCGCTCCACCCGTAGACAGTCCTGATTTAGTGAGAGTTGTAGTTAACACGTTGACTCCCTTTAGCGACCGGCAGGGTGTACGTGATGAACGTGTAAGGTGAATATTGGCCGATCATACAAGATAGAAATCAATGGAATCGTCCATCTCCTCTACATGATGGCCATATTCCGACTCATGTAGACAGCCAATATTTAAAGTATACTCGAGTATAGTCTTGGTTATTTGTAATAGTCTTGGTTCTTTACAATAGTCTTGGTTATTTAGGGTGTGGTCGACGAACGTTCATGTCCATGTCCATGTCCTGTGAATGCTTTATGATTCGCCAAAATTATCCGAAATCCGCATAAAGTAAGACATGGACACCACGTTCAAAGCATGGATTCTCCATCTCTGTCCAGAAGACCTGTCCATGCCTTTGCTTGTGATTGGTTGTGGCTCAAGTCAGCCAAGGAATCTCAAGTTGCGATGGCGGAGAATGGACTTGGCGACCTTGGAACAACAGAGACCACTCCGATGGCTCTTCGTGGCATGGAAATGGCATTCCCGTTGGGTAATACTTCAATCTTTGTCGTAACTAAGCTGTTCATAGAGGAAATTCGTCGTGAATCAAGCAAGTTGGGCGGGGACCCGCAGGTGAAGCCTGCAGGCAAGAAGCGCATCGGCCATAGGCCATCCCTTGGGTGTGATGAGAGTGTTTCACGATTCTTTTCCCTCCGATACTCGGAGACGTTTGCAGCACGCTTCAATACAAAGAACAATTGCGACAAAAGGGCGGCGACAATTCTGCTTGCAAGTGAGCTTAGTTTAGACATGAAGCGTGAGTTTACAGCAAAACAAGTTCAAGACAAGGTGCATTTGTTGTGTGTTGATCATTCTCATCGTGTGTAGTTTGCAAAACTTAAAACTGAATGGTCTTTGTCTCGTCCTTTCGCCTCACAGCCAACTGGAAACTGTGATCTGCGTCCAAACCTGCGCATTATGATTTGATGATGGAGTATTGTGGAGAAAAATTGGGCTATCAAAGAGAATCATCAATGGTGACAGACGATATGAATGAGGCTTCAGCTGATGGACAAATAGATGGTATTCAGCCTGATGAATGTGTGGTACACTAACTATGGTCAAATCTTTTCTAGACACGCATGATGAGTACTCGGAGACGACAGAGTTCGATGAGAGCAAGAATAATGACAAGTAAAAGCCTGCTAAAAGGCTAAGCGTGAGAATAGTCAGTCGAATGCCTTGGAGTCAGGCTTCAATGCTGTCAAAGAGGGGTTTGATGTAATTGGGAAATGCCATGTCAGCTCAAACCACACATTTGGGCATATCCCGCATCACCAATAATGAAACAACCCGGTGGAATAACACGACGTATTTTCTGACCAAACGTCGACATCTTCCAAATTTTTTGTCAGAATATGAACCTGGTCGTATGTCCACCGACAAGAAGACAAGTTCAGAGTCTACGACAGCTTGCACATTCAGACAGGGGTCTCCATTTCTATTATAGAATCCATCGTAGTCACGCGGCCGCTGAATGTCAATTAATGTGCCGTCCACTGCTCCGACCACACCAGGTATTTTCTGCTTCGAGTTGACACCGCGTTCAATCACATGCCAGTCGTTCAGTGTGCGGGGGAGATGAATCCATTCGCTTACATGGAGAGCGAGTTTTTTTGTAAATCGTTTCACGACTCCAATGACCACAGATTTAGACATACCAAAGACAGCAGCGGTCTCACAGTAGCCTGCCTCGGAACCGAGGAAGAAGAGGAGGACAGCGACTTTCTTTTTGAATGAATGATTTGAAATTCTTTGGCAGTCCTCAGGCGACTTGTCCCGCAACCAAACCACCAACTTCTCGAAACTCGTTTGACCGCACCTCAAATTTTTTTGAAACCATCGTTAGTACTTGGGATTGCCCAGCATTCCGTCGAAATCAATGACTGTAATTGTGAAGATGTTGAATTTTTCTGAGGGCGAGCTGATGAAGAGCGATGCAACTCCAACACAGATGGTAGCAATCGCAGTGACGGCAGCACAGAGGACAACGTTGCTCGACTCAACCATTTGAGGCACATAATGCGAAAGTGGGAAACATGGACAGGCGCTCCCAGACCAGAGTTTTGAAGAATCCGAACAAATATATTATCCGTAGAAGCATGAATGCTGGAGGTATGAACGAAATATTCGTCGACCACACCCTTACGATAGTCGTGGGAGAATCAAACAAAAAAGCTCTTTTCCAAACAGAAAGTATTCAAAACAAACATCCCACGTTGGACCAGACAGATTTCCTAATGAAAACCGGGTAAAGCCTGTCATTTACCATGTGGATCGCCTGAAAATCTTCAGTTTCGACCAGATTCAGTCCTATTTAGGATTGGATACTGTAGAACAGGCCTCATCTGGGTGGCGGCACGGTCTTCGGCCTACCTACCGCCTACCTGCCGCCTTTCCCGATGAGAATTAAAATAAAGAAATCCCTTTTTGGTGCACGTTTGGGGCTCACTCCTCCGAGCCATCCTCCAACAGAAAACTTTACACTCGACCTCCGCTTCGCTCCGGTGAGAGCATTTTTCTGGTCGGATGCCTGACGTCGTTCGCGGCGTGTGAGGTTAGGTCACACCTGAAATAAGGGCGTTTGTTTCTTTACAAAGTCGTTTGGAAAAGAGTTTTTCTGTTTGATTTTCACATGTTACCTTCATCGATTGATGTACTGGTACTATGTCGCGAGCGGCGGCGTTTCACGTTTCTTGAGTCCGGATATCAATTGAGCTCCTCCTTCGGTGCTTTCACTCTCTCTCTCTGGATATTCACTCTGGGGTGTCATCACTGACGATACAATTCACTTGGCTATTTGTTGAAACAGCCACGACTAGGTAACATGTGAAAATCAAACAGAAAAACTCTTTTCCAAACGACTTTGTAAAGAAACAAACGCCCTTATTTCAGGTGTGACCTAACCTCACACGCCGCGAACGACGTCAGGCATCCGACCAGAAAAATGCTCTCACCGGAGCGAAGCGGAGGTCGAGTGTAAAGTTTTCTGTTGGAGGATGGCTCGGAGGAGTGAGCCCCAAACGTGCACCAAAAAGGGATTTCTTTATTTTAATTCTCATCGGGAAAGGCGGCAGGTAGGCGGTAGGTAGGCCGAAGACCGTGCCGCCACCCAGATGAGGCCTGTTCTACAGTATCCAATCCTAAATAGGACTGAATCTGGTCGAAACTGAAGATTTTCAGGCGATCCACATGGTAAATGACAGGCTTTACCCGGTTTTCATTAGGAAATCTGTCTGGTCCAACGTGGGATGTTTGTTTTGAATACTTTCTGTTTGGAAAAGAGCTTTTTTGTTTGATTCTCCCACGACTATCGTAAGGGTGTGGTCGACGAATATTTCGTTCATACCTCCAGCATTCATGCTTCTACGGATAATATATTTGTTCGGATTCTTCAAAACTCTGGTCTGGGAGCGCCTGTCCATGTTTCCCACTTTCGCATTATGTGCCTCAAATGGTTGAGTCGAGCAACGTTGTCCTCTGTGCTGCCGTCACTGCGATTGCTACCATCTGTGTTGGAGTTGCATCGCTCTTCATCAGCTCGCCCTCAGAAAAACTCAACATCTTCACAATTACAGTCATTGATTTCGACGGAATGCTGGGCAATCCCAAGTACTAACGATGGTCAGCAGGCTCTGGTTTTCGCAGACCAGAAACTCGCACGCTTACTTGGCTTAGGTTGACTCACTCGCTCAAAGATATGCCCTCACCGAGAGGTTTGGGCCATTCACAGTGAATACGGAAGTCTATTATCGTCCTTAAACTGAACCAATTACTTCTTTCCTACTGACTTGTCGTCCTACGTCATTCCTTAGCTCCTTTAGATTGGCCCTGAGTTGTCAAAGCGCTTGGCCATTGGCCTAGAGCTCTTTGAGGCATCTCTTGCATGTACAAACTCGCTCGTAATGGTGTGCCGTTGGTTCGGCACTGGTCTGTACGTTTTCCACGGATACCGCACTCTGTTTGGCTGTTGATTTATCGTCACTTTACCATGTAAAGTTTGCGTAAAGTGTAAGGTAGTAAAGTGCCGCCAGCCAATCAGAAAATTACTATAAATTGCCAAAGGAAAGAAATGATGGAATAAAATTGGTTGCAGCAAAAAATGGTGAAGATGCATTATCGATTTGATACAAATTTTGGGTTGGTGCTCAATCGAATCGCGCCGGCAAATCGATCCGCAAACCGATCCCATAGATTTCATTGGCTGATTCGAAAAAAAGTACCATATTTTGTCAAATTAGTCGAAATTTTTCGATTATTAGCCAATCAAATGGCTTAAAACAAATTTGGAACGATTGAACAAACCGCGCCTAATTGGGAAATTTCCCCAAAAAGCACAATACATACTTTTTTTCCGTGCAGAGTGTTCCGGTAGAGGGTCACTCCTTTCGCACAGCCAGGAGCCGGTACCAACGAGATTAAACCGGAATATGGCGTGCTGAGCGGGGATCGATCCCTGTACCTCCTGGGCGTTAACCAGGCGCTCTACCGTTCGAGCTAGTTGCACTTTCAATAATATTCGCATTTTGCACTAGCCAATTTGGCCATCAAGAGGGTAGGAATTCTTACTTCCAACGTGGGTCAAGCCATGCGAGACCACCAAACCAACCAGAGACTCAACACAGACTGCCAAACCATCTAGAGCATCGTTCCCACCTGCAATTCTTTGCGTTCAAGAGTAATATAAATTTATGGTTCTTGGCCACGTCCATGATGAGCGTCAACACGCGAGATAATTCAACATTCCATGTCAAGATTTCATCGATCTTGTCTCCTCCATGCGATCCTTTCCATGGAAAATCCTGATGAGTACTGCAATCCAGCGGGACGAAAACGTCTTGCCAATTTTACAGCACACTATTTGCAATTGAAAACGGACGACTGTCCACCAGCCAGTGGAAAATTTGTTTGGTCACATTGGGACTGGATTTGGATCATCTTCTTGGCAGTCGTGTCGAATGTTGCGCTGATTGCAGGAGTGTCAGATACTATAGCGCCATTCTCTGTTGTCGTATGTATCATCTGGACCTCGTGCAGCAAACGATGTCATAACCCCACAGCATGCCAGATCCTTATTGGCTACCCCACACAAAGGTCGGGAACGGCGATTACTATGATAATTCTCCAATGATAGCTCGTATGATGCTCTGAGTCCAATCGTGAAAGTAACGGAGCTATTAGTCCCGCCGTTGGGAAATGTTATCTTTGAGGTACACGAAACTCTAGTGCCAAAGAACAACCATGAAGTCAATCCCTCGTAACTTGGTGGAATTTGATTGCTGATGCGGTCAAGTTCATCTCACAGCCTCCGGCGCAGCATTCGTCGGACCATTTCAAGCGCTTGCTTTGGATGTCTGGGCTTAATTGGTCAACCAACGCGATAAGGTGCATGATCGAGCCATTTATGGAAATCAAAGCGAGATCCACATCACGAGAGAAGCGTTGTTGAATGTTCATTCGACGAAGTGGATTCGTTAATTATGCTTAAAGTGTCGGAGACGTTTCGAGTCCCGTACTCTCTGATGCAGACGCTCGAATGGAAGGATTGGACAGAGCATTGTAGAGGCGGCGATTGTCTTTCGCTCCGTCGTACTGTCCTTCGGTCATACATGACGGAAGTACTCGATCGAAGCGAGACGGGTTACATGGAATTGAAGTCGACGTTTAAGCAATTCCCAATTTTGTGCGGCAAAGATCCTCTCAGCAACATCGGCATGAAGGAACTGGTCGGTTCTGATTATTTTGGCGATGCCCATCGAACTAACATTGGTGGCGATGAGATAGAAACACCTTACGCAATGAAAATACACGATGCCTCGGCCCTGATCAATCTTAAGAGGATTCCAGCACCAAACCGTGCCGCTCAGTCTGCTCGGCGATCATCCCAACGTGTTCCATTGTTGACGTGACCATGCACTCATCCGAAACACTAGCTCTCAACACAGAATATCTGCCATACCGCAACATCGAGCAGCAGCGAGGATGCGGACAACGATATCATATCCAGATCACAGCCCACCCCACACGAGCACGACTAAAAATACGCTGGAGTGCCGTGTTCATGATTTTGAATGAAATCCACTATTTGTTCTTTTCGACCGTATTCCCCGGCGAGTCTTCTTGCGCTTTGGTTCAGCTACCTTCAGTTGTCGAAGCGAATAGATTTGCGACATGGGCTGAAGCTCGTACCAACCATGCTCGTCTTCACCATCATAGAACGTAGTCAGTTCCTCGTCTTGTAGGATGATTCGGCAATGTGAGAAGAACCCAGAGGCTGAAATCAAAAGGAAAATCCCACGATCCTTGACGAAATGAGAGAGGACTGCGACCAAGGCATCATGCAGCATCTCCTGGCGTGGGTGAGGTGCTCGAAAGAACTCAACATCAAAAGTTCCCAGACACAGATGCAATCCAGTAGCAGAAACATGGCGAATAAATTGCCGCATTTCACGTAAGGGGATGCCCGAATCTAGGGGCAAACTCAATCGTCGGAGAAAGGCATCAAAGAAACATCTTTCTGAGGCTGGACTGCGGGAAAGAGCAACCGATACGCGTTCTGCATTGCTGATCAAGCACATGACATTGTCGAGTCGTCGCCAACGTTTGCTTGATTTGTGATGACGCGTGATATGTATTCGGAGAACGTGTATTTACTAGCGAAATTCTTTCCTAGGTATTTTTCATAACCATCAAAAATTTCCATCGCTTTTGGCGCATTCTTGAGGTCGTTCTCTGGAACCCAAGACTTTGCCTGCCCATTCCTCCAATTCGGGTACATCCAATGAACAAGGAAGAGTGATTCACCAAATGTAGTCACACGCCACTGTGAGATAGAATGCACGGTAGCCAAGTCACGGTAGATTGGCAACTTGATAAATTCGTGGTAGGTCATGTGTGGGCAGTTATTTCGATTGATGTAATTGTTGTAGTTCCGGAAGCGCATCATGACGTCTTCACAGTTGGGCAACTCTCTCGTCGTCAACCAACACTCTCTTCACCATCGCGGAGATGCGGATGGGCAAAATGCACGAGGTAATGCATCTTCTTTTTGACATTTCTCTTCATTCCTCGTGGCCGCTCGGTGGTCGGTTCTTCACCATTGAAAGCGGGATAAAGCATTCTCTCTTGGGAAAAGTGGTCTATTTCATCTGGGTGATCAGAGGTCATGGTGATGATTGCGTTCAATTTCAAAAGTGCTATGTGTAGACCATTTTATTCATTTTATTGCATAAGAATAAGCCAATCTGTCATTAGCCAATGGAGACGCAAACAGAAATGCCTGAAAACGTTGAACATTCAGATTCGGGATAAGAACCATAAAGTATCCTCTCCGACAATGTGACCAGCATTCATGTTGCCACGAGGCTGATTGATCGTACAGATATTGGTCTTGGCGTTAAGCAATAAATTTCAGAGGTACTATTTTTTGCGATCATAGTTTGATTTTCACATGTTACCTTCATCGATTGATGTACTCGTACTATGTCGCGAGCGGCGGCGTTTCACGTTTCTTGAGTCCGGATATCAATTGAGCTCCTCCTTCGGTGCTTTCACTCTCTCTCTCTGGATATTCACTCTGGGGTGTCATCACTGACGATACAATTCACTTGGCTATTTGTTGAAACAGCCACGACTAGGTAACATGTGAAAATCAAACAGAAAAACTCTTTTCCAAACGACTTTGTAAAGAAACAAACGCCCTTATTTCAGGTGTGACCTAACCTCACACGCCGCGAACGACGTCAGGCATCCGACCAGAAAAATGCTCTCACCGGAGCGAAGCGGAGGTCGAGTGTAAAGTTTTCTGTTGGAGGATGGCTCGGAGGAGTGAGCCCCAAACGTGCACCAAAAAGGGATTTCTTTATTTTAATTCTCATCGGGAAAGGCGGCAGGTAGGCGGTAGGTAGGCCGAAGACCGTGCCGCCACCCAGATGAGGCCTGTTCTACAGTATCCAATCCTAAATAGGACTGAATCTGGTCGAAACTGAAGATTTTCAGGCGATCCACATGGTAAATGACAGGCTTTACCCGGTTTTCATTAGGAAATCTGTCTGGTCCAACGTGGGATGTTTGTTTTGAATACTTTCTGTTTGGAAAAGAGCTTTTTTGTTTGATTTCGGTGTGTTCTCATCGATGAAAGGTGCTTCGTAAATCAGCATATGGTGAGCTCGTCGACTAAGATAACCTGTAAATAATGGCAAAAAAGGCTGACTATTGGCAGCTCGAGTCTGAAAAAAAAAGAAGACGTCAGATTCGGACGAGAATGTTGGTAAATGTTGGACAAAGTGGGTACCATACGTTTCATATTCGATCGAGACGCCTCTAAGTTCAAGCATGTCATCGTCTTATGGCGAAACCAGACGAATATCGGTGGGTGATGGCAGGGCCAACTGCTTTTGGCCTCGATTTTGCCTTATGAAGTACCAGGCATGTATGGACGGTACCAGGTCCTGGAGATGGCAGTGGACGGGTTGTATTTAGTGTAAGAAATGCAGAAACGACAGGCATTCCATGATCAAACGTCGAATCGACGACGAGATGTGATGAAGATTGCTCATCCTACGCAAGAACAAATTGTGTCTTTGCAACTTACAATAGACATTATTCGTCAATTATATCGGTGGGAGGTGGAAGGTAGGTCCCATCGCAAAAACCACATTGGCATGCAATGCCCCAAGTTGAGTCCATATAGTGCAAGCTTAAAATGCAGCCCTTCTCCAAAGGCAGTCGAGAGACAACCATTAACCGCGGCTTCTTATCAACATACCATGTCTCAAAGCGGCAATGGGGGGAACACGCGTGATTGATGAAACGAGATGCATTGCCATACTTGGTCGGATCCACAAACAGGTTGTCATCTTCGCGGGAAACGCGTGCAATGTACCAAGCCAGTTGACCACGCCCCTTCTCCTTTCGACGGAGATAAGTGTCTTTAGTGATGAGTTGGCCAACGTATTCAATGATCTTGGTATCCTTTGGAACATTTTCATCCAATCTCAAGCCAAAACCAAAGATTGGATCGACAACAACTGTGGTTTTTGGAAATCGCATTTGTTGAATGACATTGTTTTGACAATGTTTGCCTGGACTGCATCGATCTGACGCGCATTCGTGACGACTGTCCACATTGCTGCATTTCCGCCAGTCAACACAAGGTGAACGACGACTACAGCGGTAGCAGCGATCATTTTGAATTCCACTGTTGTACTTGGAGCCACTGGAAAGCCTTGCTAGTCGAGCAAGGCGTGCCTTGTTCGTTCGGCCTCGTAATGGCAAGCTCTTGTCAATTTGCATGTAGGCCTTGCCGTAGTCGTCTTCATCCGCTGATTCGTAATCATTGTGTAATCGTGGGCGCTTTCGTTTCGTAGCATCTAAGCCGTCACTGTTTTGGAGGTCTTCGTCAAGTAGGTCTCCAAAAGTGCGCTGATTGACGGGGGGCTCAGTTTGATGGTCAATGAGCGGATTGACGTGTTGATGAGCTTGCTGGTCAATATGATCGACAATG